TGCTTTATGTCATTATTATTCAATAATTTTTTTTTTGTCAGTTGTAGGACTTGAACTCTGGGCCTGTCAGAAGCTGTCCCTGAGCTCTTCAGCTTAAGGTAAGTGTTCTACCACTTGAGCCCCAGCACCACTTCCTGTTTTCTGGTGATTAATTGGAGATAAGAGTCTCGTGGACTTTCTTGCCCAGGCTGGATTTGAACTGCGATCCTCATACCTCAGCCTCCAGAGTAGCTAGGATTATAGGTGTGAGCCATTGGAGCCCAGTTTAACCAATAATCTTTGTGGTAGTGGTGGTAGTGGTGGTGGTGGTGGTGGTGTGTGTGTGTGTGTTTTCCCAGTCTGAACTACAGTTCAACTTTCAGCTTTTCAGTAGTTGAGACAAGAGTCTCTCATGGACTGCCCAGGCTAGCTTTAAACCATGACCCTTAGGGTCAGTTGCGAATCACTGGCACCTGGTTCAAGAATCTTTTTTTTTTTTTTTTTTGTAGGTCATGGGGCTTGAACTCTGAGCCTGGGCACTGTCCTTGAGCTGAAGAGCAAGCACTCTACCACTTGAACTACAGGGCCACTGCTGGTTTTCTGGTGGTTAATTGGAGATAAGTCTCATGGATGGTCCCACCCCAGCTGGCATTGAACCCAGAGCCTCAGATCTCAGCCTTCTGAGTAACAAGGATTATAGTAGTGAGCCACCAGTACCCAGCTTTTTTGTTGTTCTTATTGCTGGTTGTGGGGCTTGAACTCAGGATATAGGCAGTCTCTGAGTTCTTTTGCTCAAGGCTAGCACTCTATCATTTTGAAACACAGCTCCACTTCAGGTTTTTGAGGGGTTAATTGGGGATAAGTGTCTCATGAGGACTTTTCTGCCCAGGCTGGTTTCTAATTGTGATCCTCAGATCTCAGCTCCTGAGTAGTCAGGATTAGCCACCAGCACCTGGCTTTAAATTAAAAAAATGTATTGTTAATATAAAGGTGATACCTAAAAGGGTGATAGTTACATAAGTCAGGTAAAGAGTATATTTTGTTTTAGAACATGCCACCTCTTCCCTCCCACACAATCTTTTAAACTGGTATCAATTTCCTACAAGTCAACATCTACCCTTTAAGAGTACTCTACCCTAAAAAGTAAGTCAAAGGCAAAGATACCAACAATTAGGTAATTCATTCAAGTGCCTGTTAGAAAATACCCCAATGCAACATGGAAAGTCATTACTTTATATATTATGCTTACACTTTTTTTCTTAGTCCTGTAATTTTGTTTGGATCCAAATTCTGACATCTGTAAAAGTATCACTGAAAAGGATATGAAGAAGCCAGGTGCCGGTGGCTCATGCCTGTAATCCTAGCTACTCAGCTGAGACCTGAGGATTGCAGTTCAAAGCCAGCCTGGACAAGGAAAGTCCGTGAGACTCTTATCTGCAATTAATCACCAGGAAACCAGAAATGGTGCTGTGGCTCAAGTGGTAGAGTGCTTGCCTTGAGATGAAGAGCTCAGGGACAGTGCCCAGGTCTAAAGTTCAAGCCCCACAACAACAAAAAGAAAGAAAGAAAGAGAGGGGCTGGGAAGGTGGCTCAGTGGTAGAGCGC